AAAGTGAAGTGAGCCGAACACTGTTCGGCTATTCACTTCAGGCTGGTATGGCTGATTTCAGCCGTACATTGGCTTGCTTCACATGGCTTCGGGTCGGCCAAACATGCTCAGCATGTTCGGCCGACCCGAAGTGCAGAATGAGTTCGACTCAGCCGATCCAACATCTGGATCATCGACTCGACTGAGCCGCTCGTCCACGTTCGGGAGCTGTACGGGCTATTGTGAATAGCCCGTACAGCACCCCTTCGGTTCTACTGAACCGAAGGGGTCCTGGGGCCGAAGCTAGCCGAAGGATCGGCCGAAGCTACGGCTAGATCCTTCGGCAGCTACGTGAATAGACCCTATAGTCTTTCAGGCTTAAGGATCTGGAGTGCTATAAGGATCTCCTGGGAAGAACCCTTGATTCTGGCTTCCATGGAGTTCTATCTAGGCTTAGAGGAAGCAGACTGCAGTTGTCCTTCATAATGCTGGTGGTGAGTGACTGACTGAGTGGGAAAGTAATACAGGGACCTTTACAAGCTGTCCTGCCTAGAAGACTATGACAACTGAAGTTCTAACTGGTATCTCTGTCCAAGAGCCACATATGAACTTTAAGGGGTCTATTTATAAACAGTTTACCCTTTGAATATCTGTGGACATTCGTTTGGTGCGAATAATGGTAAAAACAAACTTTATTTTCAGGTCAAATGTATTCTGATGGAATACTGCATTATGGCAACTAGCTGGAGCTTAGGAGCATAGGAAATGGGTATTTTGCCATTATTTGCACGACATACGCAGATACTAATTTATAAATAGAACCCAGAGAGTGCTGCCAGTATAGCACTGTGTGGGAGGGACCCAGAAAGTCATGCAGAAGACCAAGGATTGTGTTTTGAGTAGAAACCTAAGTTACGTTTGCTTAGGACATTCGCAATGAAATTGTTGGTGAGCTCAAGATCAGTATTTGGTGATAACTGTTGAATGTGCTTCATCCTAGCGTTGTAAAGTGTTTTTTTATTTTAATTTTTTACTATCATACTTTCTAAACAATGCAACTGTAAATAGCTACAAAATATTTTGTAGCTTTATGCTTATCTATTCTGTAACTGGTTAACTATATTAGAGTTTAAACTCAGAAAATACAGTGATTTATCCATAGCTGGCATGCTTGTATTTTAGTGCATACAGAACAATTTGCAATAAATGAATGCAGCTGGTGTGATATAATTTCCTGTTATACTCGGTTGCCAATACACTTAATACAGACCATGAACTTGTCCTTTTTCTTCCACAGGCTTAGATTTTTAAATTGTGTTCTGTACTGAGTTAAAGATGTTACAATGCCACCAGAGAAAAATCCTTTTTTTTTTTTCTTCATTGACCATCAATATTCTTCCAGTTAATTAAAGATCAGGCTGTTTCGGCACCTACTAAAAAGTAGTTGTTTGACTCAAATCCTCCAGTAGGCCCTTTGTAAGAAATGCAACCGAAAGACAAGTGTTCCTGTTATCCAAACAAAAAAGTCAGCTTTCCAATGTTTCCCTTGAAGGATTAAGGAATGATATTACTGGATGAAATGGACAATTAGAACATAATACATGAGGCACAGTGCAAGCAAGCCATTTTACCTTGCTAGTTATTTTATGTTTTAGCACAATAACAATACTTTGAAAACCATCCTTCTGAGAATAATACAGCACAAGTATTGTATTCTCCATTGCCCTAAAGCTGAACTCCAGGCAAATCCTTAAATGCACTATTATAATATACACCGATCAGCCATAACATTATGACCACTGAGAAGTGAAGTAAATAACATTCATTATCTTGTTACAATAATGTAGGTGCAAGTGGGTGGGATATATTAGGCAGCAAGTGAACATGTTCTGGGAAACCTACCTTGGGTCCTGCTATTCATGCGCATGTTACTTTGCATGTACCACCTACCTAGATATTGTTGCTGACCAAGCACACTCCTTCATGGAAACGGTATTCCCTGATGGCAGTGGCCTCTTTCAGCAGGATAATGTGTCGTGCTATACAGCAAAAAAGGTTCCAAAATAGTTTGAGGAAACAACAACAAGTTTGAGGTGTTGACTTGGCCTCCAAATTCTCCAGATCTCAATCCAATCGAGCATCTCTGGCATGCGCTGGAAAAATAAGTCTGATCCATGGAGGTTCCACCTCTCAACTTACAGGACTTAAAGGATCTGCTACTGATGGCCTGGTGCCAGATACCAAAGCTACCTTCAGATGACCAGTAGAGTCTATGCCTCGATGGGTCAGGGCTGTTTTGGAGGCCGAATGGGGGACCTACTCAATATTAGGCAGGTGGTGATAATATTATGGCTAACTGGTGTATACATGGGAGCTGTTTTACCTACCAAAGGATTTGTGTTTGTGCCCATTCAGTCCTAAATTTTACACAGATCGCAAAGCCAGCATGGGGAACTTCATTTTCTCTAATTCAGTAAGGTAATTCTACTAGGTGACCTCCTTGCCCACAAATATGACAGACCTGGAGACTATGCCTTCAGAAACAAGGCAGCAATTTCTTGACACCTGTAAACCAGGCAAGAAGGGAGCAGAGATCTCCCAATAGATATTTAATTTTGATTTTAATTTTTTTTTCAGATTTCAGATTCGGATCCAAAATTCTATTCGGTTCGTAAGGCTGGGCTGATCAGGAGAGGATCTGTGCACAAAATTTATATAAATTATAAAGGGTCTATTTTTTAAGTGTATATGATTTTAACCCCTTCATGACTGAGCTAGTTTTCAGGTTCTGTTCATAAATGACTGACACATTTTTTACATTTTTGCTGTGTGGTTCTTCCACGTCAGTAATATACTTTCTTACTAAATGTACCCACACATATTATATATTGTTTTTTAGAGGACAGATAGGGCTATATAATTATATCACATATGTGTACCTAACCCCTCACTTAGTTTGAATAAAATAAAAAAATGAGGAAAAAAACTAAAAGAAAACACTTTTTTCACAAGTTTTGATTATTATTATTTTTTTTAGAATTTTTTTATATTAATTATAGTATAAAAAATATATTTATATATAATTTATATTTTCCTAATTTTGTTTTACACTTTATTTTAATTTTTTTACACTTTGTAAAAAAAAAAAAAAAAAAAAAAACTTTTTTTTTCTTGTCAGTTTATATCAAGCAATCACTATGACAGCTTGATAAATTAACTTTTTTATTTTATTTTTGGCTATTAGGCTGATCCAAACTTAGGAACAGCTAATAATAACCTTAGAGACTGATCCTGACTTTAGTCAGATTCAGATCTCACTAAAAGCTCTTTGATCGTGCCTAGACGATCAGAAATGATACATTTCACTCAAAAGATACATTGTATCCTTTCAGTGAAATGTATCTAAACATCGGGCTCTCGAGCTGTCAAAACAAATAGCAGAGAGGTGAGGTGAGTCACTGCTGCCTCTCTGCTATTTTGAGCTGTCAAATACGGGATCGCAAATTGCGGTCCTCTATTTGCATGTAACGGCTTCATTCTTTCATTAATGAAAGGAAGAAGCTTTTACAAAAAGCTTAATTATTTCATTAATTAATGCCTCAATACTGAGACATTAATGAATGACTGTTAAATGCTGAGAATCAGCAAATACCGGCATTACAAAGCCTGATATAACTCGTCACGTACAGTGTACGTGGCCAGTCATATAGGCACAAAGTGACAAGACGTACACAGTACGTCTCCCGTCACGAAGGGGTTAAACTTACATTTAATATTTTTTTAACTATGTAAAATCTTTGTTTTCCAAACTACATCTAAAACACAACAAAAAGTTTGAAAATCATTATCAGTTAGCTAAAGAGACTACATTTTTCTTACTGAAATTGACTGACTGGCTAAGCTGTCCAATAGGGGATGAGCCAACACTGACAAATCCCTGATATTGTAAACAATAAGCATCTTTTATGAAAGAAGCAAACTGGTAGCCTGTAAAATAAATGAAAGCACATTCCCATTTCTTCTTTCAAAAAGGAGACAGTAAAACTGTGTTTATAATGTTAATATGCTAGTATTCTATGCTGCTTGCTGCACAACTATTTACAACAGTTTCATGCATTACTAGCTTCATTGCATCACTGCTATACATTGTTTAAAATATATTTAAACTGCCTTAAAATCAAATTATTTCCATGTAGAAACCCTGTTAGCGTGTGGATATCAGTTCTAAATTCAGGAGCTGAAAGTGGAATGTCAAACAGCGAGTGTAAGAATTACAGCTTAGACTCTACTAGTGTAATACAAACAGTAATGCTAGTGTAATACTAACAGCAGAGCTGGATGTGCAGACTCCTTGTGGAAACATCTGGATTTCATTTTGGAGTAGAATAAAAAAAAAAAAAAAAGTGAAATGTGAAAGTGTGTAACAAGTTATCTGATTCTTTCCTGAGTGACTTTGGGATCAGTCGCAAACTACATTATTACGCTACAGATCCTGTACTAAAATAACCCCACCCAAAAAGAAAGCAAAAAGCCTTTCATTTATGGTGCCTGTGGTCCAGTAGAATTCAGATGCAGTATATGTGTTTGTGTTAGTTGGAAGGCAGCTCGGAGCAGTGACTGCACACATCAGGGGTTAGAGGAAAACTTTCTGCTAGCAGGGAGAGGACTTTGGAAGTAAACCCAACTTTCAGCTAACCTCTGCACAGAAAATCAACTTTGCCAAGTTCAGCAATTCTTTTCTACTACTACGTCAATGACGATGGGAAAAAATCTTTGATTTCTATCTGATTTCATCTTCTAAAGTGTTACAGTTTTGCATGAAGGATTACGTACCTGTTGCACGGACGTGGATTAAGTGATCTTGGGCTCATGTGGACCACTGGATTAGTTTATTTTATTTCTGAACCTATTAGCTGATCCCTGCTGCAACTGAGAGCTGAGCATCTGTTTTTTACAGTGAAGTTCCACTGTAATGCACCAAGTGTGCTCACAGTCAGGACCGTATGATGATCATGAGTTCTCTAACACGGGCACAACATCATGTTTATTAGAAGATGATCTGATAAAAGTGGATAACAGAAGGACATGGGTTGGAGACGCAGATATTGTCATAGACCGATTTTTGTGGCTGTGATTTTAGCATTGTGCCTTTTCTATCAGTGTCTTGCTCTGCTCTGGAAAAGTATATCTTGGACCAGTAAGGAGAATGCAGTTGGCAGGGACAAGGATATTACGGACGTGGCTGCTGGCATGGGGGACTGCCTGCATCGATGGGATAGCATAATCAGAAAGATAAAGGATGTGAGTATGAGAAATCATTAAATGTCAAACTGAGTAATGCTAAACTCTTAAAAAATAAACTAGCTTTACTCATTCAGCAAACCTGGTGTAATCTGCCACTTTGAGGAGTTTCCCATGTATCAATTGCTGATCATCATAGTTCAGTAATTTCTCTATGGTGGTCCTGTAGTGTGCATAACACCAGACATGAATGCATAAATATTTTAACTCTATGACATGAATCCAGTTATGTATTACATAACCTATGCATGCGAATGTTATTAATAGAGGTTCGAAAAACAATCCATGTGGGCCAAATTCAGTTAGAAATGAATTCTGGTCAATCTTCAAGATCTGACTGCTTTTTATTAGGGTTGCACAGATACCAAGTACAGTACTCGGTACAAGTACGAGTACATGTACAAATACTTTTGAGCTCCAAGACTACACTAGAGAAAAATTAAAAAATTAGGAGGCAGCTGTCATTTGTAAGTAGCACACGGAGCTCCTGGGATTTGTACATCTCTGTTTTAATGTACGATTTTGTTTTTATAAATATAAATAAAGGGATGCACAGATACCAGTTTTGCGAGTACGAGTACTGGTACTTGCCGAGTACTTACAAGTATGAGTACTGATACATTTTTGTTTATTGTCATGTGACAGTATTTCTAAAACAATACAGACTAATGATTTCAGGACAGTGGTGGAGTGCCAGAGCCAGGTCCCAGCTGCAACCACTGCAACCCTGGTAGTTCTCATGAAAATGCCAAGTATCGGCACTGGTACTCAAAAAGTATCTGTGCATCCCTACTTTTTATTATTTTTTTATATCTATTTCACATCACCAACATAGCTCAACAAGCATGCAGACTGGTTTCTTCCCAGTGAGAAAATGTGTTAATATTGGCCAATATATTTATCAGCATCAAGTCATTGTTTCAGACTGGAGGCAACCCTCATCAAAAAAAGTTTGTCCCTCCTCTAAAAACAACAATTTGATGCTAAAAAGGTACCAGGTATTGCCATTTCTCTATTACTGTACAACTGACCCAATCTGCTAAATAGCCAGACTTATTTGTTGTCTGTGCTTTGTTGTCTGTGCTTCTATGCTGTATGATCAGTGGGAGTAGGTGTGAATCATTCTATATCTGTGGCCAACATGTCAACTGACAACTACAAGATGCTGAGGAGGGGGCCTAGCTATAGAGCTGCTATTTATTTTGTTTATTTTGCCATTGGTGGCATGGAGATCCCAAAAAGAATGATTATAATAGGTATTTTTCAGAAGCTACCTACTGGAAAAAGTCCGGAATTAACCCTTGAAGTGAGTCAAAGAAGTGCTCGTTTTTGTCTAGGTGCAAAAATAAAAGTTATCCTCACCCAATCCTCTCTTAGACCACTCCTTCCAGCTTCTCTGTCCCGTGAGTCATCACTTCCAATACACTGTGTAGGACGTAAGGAAGCTAAGGGACATACTATCACTGGAGAGGAGGAGGAGACAGGCTGGGGGGGAGCACTCTAACAGCCAGCTGTCTGCGAGGTTCAGGTGAGTATAACCTTGTACTTAGATGAAAATGAGCACTTAACTTAACCCTTGCAGTTGAGGGATAGCCTCACTCACACTTTTTTTCCTGTATTTCTCCTTTAAAGCTATGTTATCGGTTTAAATGTGTCAGGTTTTTTAATATGAACCCTATGAGCCACCAATTGCAGGTGTGGGCTCCCCCAACCCATCAAGTCTCAAACCAAGGCTGTTTACATTGCCATTGTGGTGACTCCTGGCAGAAAACACCAAGTACCAAAGATTACAAGGACTGAGAGTAGAATTTGTACAGGGGATGCCATAGGTATGTTGTCTAGGTCTGTGTTAAAGGGACCCTGCCACCAACATTTCAGGTAAAATCACAGAATTTGAAAAGCTCACTTGCAGTGTTTCCCTTTCCTTAAAAAAACATTTTTATTCACTTGCAATGTGCCTTTAAACTTGCTAGAAACTTTGATTTCTCCGGCAATAGTCAATTACCTAGCACAGCTCCCTCACTCCTTGCACAGCATAGACATAGGAGTGTCTAATTACTGACTATAATGACCCACCCCTCAATATACCCCCCTATACACTGAGTGGCCAGATTATTATGACCACCTGATGTTTGTAGGCAAATTAGCTATAATTTCGCGCTGAAGTTGCTAGAGGGTCAGACCATTATAAATAGGGAAGCAGGTTGTTTACCACGACAGTAGAAATTATTTTTTTCTGAAGATATGGGTAAACAACGAGATTTAACAGCCTTTGAATGTGGGATGATTGTTGGCGCTCAGAGCCATGGAGCGAGTATCAGCAAAACAGCAGAATTCGTTAAATGTTTAAAAGCAGCTGTTGTTAAAGTGTTTAAAGACTGGACTGTCAGCCGAAAATCTGGGTCTGAACGTGCGAATTGTGGCCGTCAGCGGCTAGTCATTGTTAGGGCAGAACGGAGAGTGGCAAGACTGGTACAAGACAACAGAAGGGCAACAGTGCACCAAATTACTGCAGATCTTAATCAGGGATACTCTCAAATGATCTCTGAACGCACTGTTCGCCGTACACTGCATCATATGGGATATGGAAGCCGAAGGCCTGTTCGAACACCTTTGCTGTCTGCAGTTAATAAGATAAAACGTCTCCAATTCGCACAGGAACACAAGGATCGAACAGTCGAGCATTGAAAAAAGTAATGTGGTCCGATGAATCACGTTTCCAGTTGCATCATGCAGACGGCAGAGTGAGAATTTGGTGGGAACAGCATGAAGTGCCCACATGGTGGGGGCAGTGTTATGGTTTGGGCCATGTTTTCCTGGCATGATTTGGGCCCCCTAATTCGTGTGGAACAACGTCTGAATAGCACAACATACCAAAGTATCATTGCTGATCAAGTTCATCCTATCATGTTGATGGCGTATCCCAATGGAGATGGCTTCTTCCAACAAGACAATGCGCCATGCTACGGTGCTCGTATTGTGCAGGAGTGGTTTCAAGAACATGAGGGAGAATTTACCTTGCTTAGGTGGCCCCCACAATCACCAGATCTCAATCCAATTGAGCATTTGTGGGACGAAGTTGAAAGAGCCATCAGGCAGCTGGTTCCACAACCATCAAATCTCACAGAACTGGACAGTACTATTCATCAGGCATGGTGTCAGATTCCTTGCATCACCTTTCAACATCTCGTGGAGTCAATGCCAAGAAGAATCACCGCAGTATTGGAGGCAAAAGGTGGCCCAACGAAGTACTGATGGGGTGGTCATAATAATCTGGCCACTCAGTGTATAACCAGCCAGGTAAAGGATGAAGAGGAAAACTATAGAGTATCACTGAGTCTGCCAGTAATGCTGACATCACATCCAAGGTGGCAGTGTCCAGTTGGATGTCTACACAGGAGAGGCTTTCACAGGTAAATAACATGCATAAAATACTTTAAAGCTAAACTCTGGGAAAAACAAAGAACTCTTTTTGCAGGGGGGTTGCCCTCACACTGCAATGGTTAAATGTTCGTTGAGGTCTAAGGTACAAGGAAAAGTTATTTTACTTACCAAATAGCCACTTCCACAGGCTCCATCCAGGCTACAAGACCAGCCTCCACAGCCTCTTTCCCCCTCTGGTGGTTGAAGGACTGCAGACATCATCAAGTCTAATGCAGGGTCCATAGCCCTGCATTATAGGTGAAGATGCTGAGGGACAGTCCACAAGCCGGAGCATAGGAAAGATGAGTTGAGTGCTGACTGCCAGTGGAGCGGGGATCAGGTAAGAAAAACTCCCTTATTCAATACCCTAAACCTGAATGAGTATTTAACCCTTGCAGAGGTAAATTTTGTCTGCACCCAAGTTCCAATGTTTGCATACATAGTTTAGTCTCTTGGCCTTGTTTCCACATGGAGGTATGACTTTTTGGCCACAAGGCTGCAGACAAATTTTTAATATTTGGCTGTAGCAGGAGACAATTTGTTTGCCACAGGCCTGGAGAGCGGTACAATAATGAGTGTCTGCAGCAACAGTGAAGCATGGTGGAGGTTCCTTGCAAGCCTGGGGTATGCATTTCTGGCAATGGAGCTGGAGATTTGGTCAGGATCAATGGTGTCCTCAATGCTGAGAAATACAAGCAGATACGTATCCATTATGCCATACCATCATGCCATAGCAAAACTTTTTTTTACACTTAAAACAGGTCCTCTTTATGCTATCACATATGGCGCTAACAAGCCCCCTATGTGATAGGTAATATAAATTACCATGTCCTATTTACTGAGACAGGGGTCCCTAAGACTAAGTAATGCAGTCTATGTTTAATTCTAGGTAATGCAGTCTAAGTAATGCAGTCTATGTTTAAGTCTAAGTAATGCAGTCTATGTTTAAGTCTAGGTAATGCAGTCTAAATCTAAGTTGTGTAAATGTTTTTTTTGTGGAAACATCCCGTCTGTGTGCTCCGCTATACATGAATTCCTCTTGTTCCTGTGTTGAGTGTGCTTGTCAGGGCTCGGTTATATTTGTCTGTGGTGAAAAACAATAACAGACTGCTGCAGTCAAAGGTAATTTTACTCTGTCCCATAGCTGCAATTCAGAGATAGGACAAAGAGGCATAGCAGCAGGGAATACAGAAAAGTGGATAAACCAAAGATAATACAGTGGACCAGCAACCTACTGTAAAACAGCCAAAGGATAGAGCTTTTCCTATAAAGCAGTACTGTGCAAGTATATCCAAAATAATACAATCCTGCTAACGCTGGTTGGTTGTGCTGTGTTATCTGCCAGGGATTATGGATTTTTCAAGGAAAATGGAGACTATAAAAAAAAGAGATTTAAAGGCTACATTAGTCTAGTTGAGCAACAGCTAGACAATTTAGAGAGAAAAGAAATACAAAAGCTGGAAACTGTGCCTGAGTAATAACAGGTGCTATTCTAAGTGCAGGGGTCACTTTCAGAAGAGTTAGAGCATAGACCCTGCTAAACAGCACTCTCCCAGCTAATCAACAATTATCATTCA